AGAACTGGAGAAAAACACCCTGACCCTGAAACCAAAACCAAAGAAACAACACTTGCTCCCTAGAATCAGAACCAGTTAAAGAAATATGCCCTGACCCTAAAATTAGAGCCAAAAGGCTAAAAAAGACCAGTGGAAGAAATAATTAGGCCCTGAAATCAGAGTCATCTCTGCCCCTGACCAAATGAAACACAAATTCCAACCAATCCGTGAGCAGGGAAGTAGCTCCCTCCTCTGGTGTAAAGGTGTGACCTCCACCTGACCTTAGCAGGAAGCAGTCTCCTTCAGCCAAGCAGGCACAACTGCCTCTGACCTTCCCCTGAATTTAACCCATGGGGAGGGTTCAATCAGAAATGGGTCCCATATCACCCCACTGAGAGAGACCAGTCAGGAACAGGAAACACCTCACCCCCTCCTACACACACACACACACACACACACACACACACAGAGAGAGAGAGAGAGAGAGAGAGAGAGAGAGAGAGAGAGGAGCCAATCAGAAGTGAGTAAACAACCCAGGAGTCCTCTGCAATTCCCCTAGACCTAAGGTAGCCAATCAATTCTGTCCAGATACCCCTAGTCAGAGCCTGAGCCAATCCCAAATCTGTAACCCTGCAGTTTTGGAGGGCTTGAGTCAACCCCAAATCTGTAGTTATGTAGGTTTGAAATCCCCCAAGTCCTTCACATCTTGCCTGGCCACTACAAAAACTGCCTGTCCACACTTCTCAGGGCCTCCCCTGCTGTGCTGCTGCTACTGGTAGTGGTGGTGCTGCTGCTTTGGATAGAGAGAGGCCCCAGTTAACTCGCATTAAAAGACTCTTTGTTTTTGCATTGAATTCAGTCTCGTGGTGGTATTTTGGGTATCTGGACTTTGGGCATAACAGTATACTGAGCACCGATCTCAAAAAAAAAAAAAAAAAAAGGTGAGTGAATAAATGAATGAAACAAGGACAAAGGAAAGAATTTAAGTAGGTAACTGAATACAGAACCCACATGTCTAAGCTAATTACAAATGACTGTGGTCATTGAATGAGAATGACCCCCATAGGCTCATATGTTCGAACACCTGTTCCCCAGTAGATGGAACTGTTTGGGAAGGAGCAGGAGGTGTGGCCTTGTTGGAGGAGGCGTGTCAATTGTTGTCTTCCGCACTTTTCTGTGGACACCCGAACCTCGAAACAGGCGCGCGCTTTCCTGACTCGAGCCCACGAGAACGGACAATTGTCCTAGGAGTTAAAACAGACGACACACACACAAAGAGACCGGGCTCATCTGCCAAGGAGCAAGTGGCAAATGGCAGTTTTATTAAGCATCAGTCGGATATATATACTGTGGGGCAAAAGGACACCAACCCCCACCAGGATCAAGGAAAAAGAGAAGTCAGGGATCCACACCCAAGGTCGGAGAGCAGCTGAACAGAGAAAAGAGGAAGCCAGGTGGGCGTGTTCAGGTTCAGGGACGAGCTGACCTGGGAACCTTGCCTGCGGCGAGAACCTTGCTTGCAGGTGGAACTACCATAACAGTTAAGGGAGAGTTCTTTCTAAGCTACACCTTTGGGCCGTAGGCAAAACTGACAAAACAGGAGAAGGCAGTTCTATGCCACACCCTTAAGCTGATGCAGTGGAACCAGGAAGCAGAACAGCCCTGCATGGCGCCTTGGGAAAATGGGGAACCTGTGCACCTACAGTCAATGGCAGCTAGCTTTGAGGTTTCAAAAGCCCACACCATTCCTGATGTTCTCCACCTCAAACTTGCGGATTCGGATGTCAGTGCTCAGCTACTGTTCATACCTGCCTGCCACCATGAAGGTCATCATCATGTACTCACCCTCTGAAACCGGAAGCCCCAATAAACTCTTTTTTTCTGTAAGTTGCTTTGGAGATGGAATCTCATTGTAGCAGTAGGAAAACAATTAAGACAATGATGCAATTAGTTGAATTTTTCACATTAAATCCATATTTTAAGAAGAAGTCTTGGGTTGGAGAGATGCTGTGGGACAATCGGTGGAACAATCTGTACACTGTAAATAGGTATTGCTCTTATTGTTAATAAAAAGCTGACTGACCAATAGTTAGGCGGGATTTTCAGGGCAGAGAGAATGCTGGGAAGAAGGAGGGTAGAGTCAGAGGATTTGCCAGCCAGATGGAAAGGGAGCAGGATATGAAGGAGAGGTAAAAGCCAAGAGCCTCAGGGCAGCACCTTAATTAATTTAAGTTGTAAGAGCAAGGTAGTAATAAGCCAGAGCTATCAACCAAGCATTTAAAATTAATAATAAGTCTTTGAATGGTTATTTGGGAAGTAGCTGGCTGAACAGAGCTGATCATGGTCCCAATGAAAAACTCCACCTACAGGGTTTAGTCAATACAATATTCGCTGTGCAAGCATGAGTTCAGATCTTAGTCCTCGGTGTAGGAGGGTCATCTGTCTAGGTGTTACTTTCATTGGTTAACAAAGAAACTGCCTCGGCCCTTTGATCGGCCAGCCCTTAGGTGGGTGGAGTAGACAGAACAGAATTCTGGGAGGAAGAAAGCAGAGTCAGGCAGACCCCACGCTTCTCCTACCCAAGACGGATGGTGAGTAGACTCATGCCAGTAAGCCACAGTCAAGTGGTGATATACATTAATAGAAATGGTTAATCAAGATGTGAGAGTTAGCCAGTAAGAAGCTAGACCTAATAGGTCAGGCAGTGTTTAAATGAATACAATTTGTGTGTTGTTATTTCAGGTGTAAAGCTAGCCGTGCAGGAGCCGGGTGGGACGAAAAGCAGGCCTGCTCGCCTCATCACTACAAGTACTCGTGTAAAAAGTTAGACACAGCAGGTACCTGTAATACAAGCATTAGAAAGACAGGATCCTTAAGCTCTCTGGCCAACCAGTCTAGTCAAATAGATGAGCTCCAGGGTCCGTGAAAAGCTTTATCAAAAAGTAAGGTAGAGGGATGATTAAGATGGCTCAAAAGGAGAAGGCACTTGCCAAGCAAGGCTGACAACTTGACTTTTATTCCCAGAAACCATGTAAAGGTAGAAGGAGAGAACCAACCTCTACAGAATTGACCTCTGACCTCCACATATAGGCATGCAGCATGCACACACATACACACACGTCATAAACACACAATGGTAAAAATAAATAAGTTGGAAAGCGATAAAGGAAAATACCCAATACAGGCCTTCGGTCTCCTTGAACTTGGAAGTGAACAAAGTCTTAGTGACTTTCTTGTGATAAAACCAGCTTAAGGGACAAAGGGTTGAAGGTGGCTGACAGTTCAAGGATATAGTCCATTATGGAAGGGAAGCTAAGGACCTTGGTCACCTCACACCCACAATTGGAAACAGAGAGCAATGAAAGGGTCATTAGAACTCCCAAGAAGGTCGTGACCCACAGGTTGAGAACCTCTGAGTTACATGGTCCAGAATCTCAGCCAGAGAATGATGCTATTCATAGTATGTGGGTCCTTCCATTTCAATTAAATCAATCAGGATAATTCTCCATAGGCATGACCGAGGCCTGTCTCCCAGGTAATTCTAGATTCTGTCAAATTGACAAATAAGACAATCATCACATATGTGAACATATATACAGAGCTACAACAAAGACAACACATTTAAGAGAAATACAAAGATTTGAAATACCATTTTTATTTATTTTTATTTTTTAAATATTTATTTATTTATTATGTATACAATATTCTGTCTGTGTGTATGCCTGCAGGCCAGAAGAGGGCACCAGACCTCATTACAGATGGTTGTGAGCCACCATGTGGTTGCCGGGAATTGAACTCAGGACCTTTGGAAGAGCAAGCAATGCTCTTAACCACTGAGCCATCTCTCCAGCCCTACCATTTTTATTTAAGACAGGCTCTCACCTAACCCATGTTGATCTGGGATTCCTTATATAGCCCCAAAGGACCATAACCTTCTTGTCCTTCTGCCCCCATCACCTTTGTGCTGGTATAACAAGCTTGTGACACTCCACGTTTTAGTTAGGGTTTCTATTGCTATGAAGGGACACCATGACCACAGCAACTCTTATATAGTATAACATTTAATTGGGGTAGCTCGCATACAGTTCGGTGATTAAGTCCATTATCATCATGGTGGGACACGGTGGCATACAGACAGACATGGTGCTGGAGAAGTAACTGAGAACCTGGCAGGCAACAGGAAGTGTTCTAAGACACTGGGTAGAATTTTGAGCATATATGAGACATCAAAGTCCACCTCCACGGTTACACACTTCCTCCAACAAGGTCACATCCACACCTCCTAATAGTGCCACTCCGTTTGAGGGCCATTTTCTTTCAAACCACCACACTATTACAAATCTTGATTAGTTTATTTTATTTTTACCCTGAGTTGAAGTCTGGGGGAAAAAAATACATCTGAAATGTTATAGGATGTTTTGATTTGATCAGTTTGCTACTTGAAGAGCATAAGAATAAAAATACATTTCATTTTTCTTGACCCCAAAGCATAAACCAGCAATGATGGGGTTTCCCTGACACTCTGACTAGGGAGTTCTCAAATATAAGAAGTGACAAAAACAGACTGAAGCAGCAGATTGCCCTGAGTTCCAGGCCTACCTGGGTTACAGAGTAAAGAATCCTGTCTCAAAGAGGGATTGTGGGAGAATGGTATTCTTAGATCTTGTTATGTTTGTAAGTATCAAGCTGTAGAAGAGAAAATAATTCTTTTTTTCATTATTATTCACTGAGTGATGGATGCAACAAGAAAGAGTCATATGTCTGAACATGGCCAAAACACAAGCATCAAATTGATAGGAAACCCATTCAATTAATATGCGCTCTTACCTATAATAAAAGGCAAAAGAAGTTCTCACTCAAGCGCAATTAACAACTAAAAATGCAGTCTCTGTATTTTTAAGTCCTAAAAAAGCTCAGAGCTCTTTGCCTGTGGCAAGAAGCTTCTCCGGCACCGGTGGGCGGAGCGTCCTCCCGGGACCGCGGGTGGGTGAGGCGGGCTCCGCCCCAGGGCGTGGTCTGCGCAGCGCTGCGCCGCACGTGTGCGAGCCCGGCGGCTGGTGGGAGATCTGGTACGAGTGAGTTTCCTCGCGGTGTAGCCTCTGCGGACTGGCGCTGGCTGCCGTCTCCTCCGAGTGGCCGCCGCTCTCCTGCGTCCAGAGCGAGAGCCTTCTTTGCCGCTTGGCCCGCGCCTTCAGGCTCCGGGTAAGTGCTCGGCCAGGCGGCACGGCCCCAGGCCTCCGGAGAAGCACGCGGCCGGGAGGGTGGCTGGCCGCGGTCGCAGCCCGCGCCGTCCCCGGTTTTTCCGCCTCCGGCTCCACAGTTCTCGCTCTCTGGTATCTGCTCCGTGCTCCCCGATCCAGGATCCCAGATCCCTAATTCCCGATTGGTGCTCCCGGACCCCGACTCTTCGCCCTGATCCTGGCTGGTCGTTAGGCGGCGCTGCGTCCCTAGCCCCTCTTTAGCCGCTGCTCTGTGGACCGGAACCTTTTCCTCTCCTTCCTTGCGTGGAGGTGCCTTAGGCGCTCCCCTAGCTCATTTCCTTCTTAGAAATACAGACCAGCCGTTTTCCCAGCTCTGCTCAACCTCCCAAATTGTCCGACCGGCGTGCACGGGTCTGGACTTAGTGCTGGTATTGGCCGCAAATATTTTACGTTCTGGACCGACCTGGGGCTGCTGCTCTTCTTACCCCAAGAAAGCAATCAGGCTTTCTTTGGTCTTTTCTCCAGCTTTTGCTGTGCAGGCTACTTACCCTTTGGTCCTTACCACAAGCCCTAAACTGAGGTGGCTTTAAAAAGCACATAGTTATTGCTGTTAATCAGCGCCTGTCAAGAAAGTAGGATTGGGAGAGAGTTACAGGCCACTTCTTAAAATAAATAAATAAATAAAAATTAAAAATAAAATTAAAAAAAAACCCTAAAATGTAGGTGTTGTTTTGATTTATTTCCACTCTAAAGTAGCACCACCAACAACAACAACAACTAATACAAAATCTGTGGCCGGCTGTAAATTGGTGTACCCGGGTGGCAGGGCAATGTTTTTATTGAAGGAGCTGTCAAAATTCAGACTGTTTGCTATTGTGAGAAAGAGGGAAATCATGTCCAATAATTAGCAAATAGCCAACAGACAGAAATTGTTAATTTAACAAGCTTATTTGAGCACATAGTTTTGAGACAAGACTTACTGTGTAGGCCAGGCAGGGTGGTCCGAACTAGAGATCCTCCTGCCTCAGCCCTCCAAGTGCTGGTCTTACAGGAGAAGGACATCCACTGTATCCCCCTCTGAACTTGTCTCTCTCTCTTTTTGTGGAGGAAGGGCTGAGACAGTCTCCCTATTGTACAGCCTTGCTGTCCTGGGACTATCTGTGTAGACCAAGCTGGCCTGGAACTCATGGGTTTGGGCCACCACACTCTACTGTTCAACATTTTTGTTAGATGGGGCAATACAAGGCACTAATGAAACTGAGATTTTGTGCCCTGGAAAGAAATTTGCCTAATTTCTATCTGTGATCTTTACAGGTTCTATTCTGCCCCCATGGGACTCTCAGAGTCTACTGAGAGTTTTTCAGGTCTACTTTCTTCAAGCCTTTAAAACATCTTTATGGAGGCTTCACACAAAATGACCCTTTCTGCTCATCCGTCCCTTACTCTGCTTTTAACTGGCTTACATGTCCTCACACAGGGTTTGTTTAATTGTATTCTGTTTCTGAGAACATCCCCTGCAAGTTTATTTTGTTTTTGAATATGTTCACAAGTAGAATGTCATCTGTTTCATTGCAAGAAGTCATCCATTTTTATCCAGTGCCTACACAGGATATATATACTCGATATATGTTAGAGTAAATTTTTCTTTCTGAATAGAATGTGGGGTGTGCTCTGCCCTCAAAGAAAGTGTTTCTAAGTCATGTGTGCTGCTGCAGGCCTCGGCAGGAGGATCACAAGTTCAAAAGCAGCCTGTAAGGGTATTCTAAGCAATTTAGGAAGACCCTGTCTCAAAGTAAAGACAAAGGTCAAGGTGGTTCATTGTTAGCACACTTGCTAACATGCACGGCCCATCATGAGACCCTCCCTGTCTCAGAAAGCAAAAGTATTTAATGGAGCAAACCATGAGTAAGCATCAACAATAGCTCAGGAATCAAAAAGCAAATAAGTATCTTGGGGACCGGACATGTTGGCACATGCCTTGAATCCCAGCACTTTGGGAGGCAGAAGCAGGTGGCCAGCTTGAGCTACATGGTCAATTCCAGGACAGCTAGGGCTATGTGGTGAGAGCCTCTCTAAGAAAGAAACAACAAAATCAGGTCTAAGTTATGTGTCATGTCCCCTCTTTTTGCCAATGAACAAAGTTGAATGGAGGGAGATATTAGATATTTGTCCAAGGCATCATATTTTATTTTTATCAACAACTTGGAAGAGGATAGTCACCCACTCACTAAGTTGCAAGATCTAGGATCTTGTTCCACGTCATAGAGGAGATCTGGTGTTCATCTGCATCTGGGAAAGAGATCAGTGGTCTGACTAAAGTCCCTGTGCCAGGCTGCATGCATGGCTCTTGCTGGCTGCGCTTGCCCCTCTGCTGAGTGTTGTGGCCTATGAACAGGTATCAGGATCTCTTCCCAAAGAGTCCTTTGATAGCAGCTAGGAGTCTATTATTATAATTACTTCTGTCAGTGATTTTTCAGTTGGTCATGTCTATGCCATAAAGATCTGCCAATTTTTAAATAATAATAAGTTTCCCTTATTTTTATTACCTTACCATGGCTGTTTCTGGTTTTTCATTGACCATACTTAGACTAACCATACTTGGGATTAGAATATTTTTGGAACTCATTTATGGTTTTTATGGATATGTTGGCTAGGTTTGTTAGTAAGTTCACTCTTCTGTCTCTCTATGTAATAAAAATAGGAAAATGTACACCCTTATTTTAGTTTCAGGTAAGATCAAGTCGATGTGGGTGGTGTTATATAGCCTGGTAGTGGAACCAGGACCTATCCTTGGTGCATGAGCTAGCTTGTTGGAGCCCCTTCCCTATAGTGGGATGCCATGCTCAGTGTTAATGCAGCAGGAAAGGCCTGGTCCTGCATAAACTTAATGTGCCAGGCTTTATTGACTCCCTTTTGGAGGAGTAGATGGAAGGTGGAGAAAAAACAGGAGGAGGGGAGGGAGGGGAACTGTGGTTGGTACATAAAATGAATAAAAAATTTCAAATAAAAAGAAAGATCAGTTAGGTAGACACACAGCACCCAGAATGTTTTGATTGCTCTATTTGCCCCTCTCCTGAGGGGCAAATACTGGGGAAGTATGTATAATGTCTTCTGTTTTGCTCTGTACATTGTACTTTGTCTGGTTAAATAATAATCTGTTTGGGGGCTGTATCTTTTTAAACTGTGGTCAGATACATAACATAGCTGGCCTAGTGAAGCACATCCACATCACATCCACAGTCACAGCACTCAAGAAGCTGAGGCTGAAGAATTAAGAGTTAAAGGCCAACCTGGTATATTTACAGTTTCGGTTTTCTTTTATTTTTCTCTTGTGTCTGTGTTTGAGGGAAATGCAAAGGGAGGCCAGTGGCCAGTGTCTTGGTGTCTTCCATCTTTCTCTGCCTTAGTGGGTTTTTTTTTTATTTTTAAATTTGATTTGTTTATATTTAATTGTGTGTATGTGTGTGCTCATCAGTGCACATGTGGAGGTCAGAAGACCACTATGGGAGTCTGTTCTCCCCTTCTACCACATAGGTCTGACGGTCTGACCCAAGCCAGGCCAGGCATTCACACTCCCTTCCCACCACTGAGCTGACTTGTCTTTGCGCCTTAGTTTTTGAGAACTCTCTCGCTGAATATGGAGTTCAACAATTTGGCTAGATTGGCTAGCAGTGAGCCCCAGAGAATCCTTCTGTCTCCACCATACCAGGCTCCAACTTAAAAAAAAAAAAAGTGCTAGGGATTAAATTCAGGTCCTCGTGCTTACTAGGAGGTGAGGTGGGGTTCCCCTCTGTATGCTATCAATGTTTGATGTGGGATTCCCTTCTGTATGCTGTGAATATGTTTTATTACAATTGGTTAATGAATAAAGCTGTTTCAGCCATTGTGAACAGAGTCAAGGAGATGCCATGTAGCTGGTGAAGGAGAAAGATGCCCACTAGAACCTTACCTTACCAGTAGGCCACAATGTGGCCTATTAATTTGGTGTTACGCAAATTAATAGAAATGGGTTAATTCTAGATGTAAGAGCTAGCTAGAAATATGCCTAAGTCATTTTCCGAAGAGTGTTTTGATTGATATACTCTCAGTGTGATTATTAGGGTCTGAGCAGTTGGGAAACAAAAAACCAATCTCTGACTACAAAATAGCGCTCATGCATTTTGGAGTAACCCACATGACCAGCCACATACTTTGGATCCAAGTGCTTGTATGCCTGCTGCTCAGCACCCTGCCTAGGCAAGAAGCTGGATCGGGTCTGCTAGGAATGCACAGTCAGGAAAGAATGGTGAGTTCCCGCTGCCATGCACAGAGACATTTCCAGGTTGCATGGCAGAATTAGCTTTTACTGAGACATAAAGGGTTTACGTGCTGCATGGTGCTTCCCAGGGCTAAGGTGGTGAGCATGGCTCCCACCCAGCAGTCCCAGAGCTGCTGGTAAAGGTACCTCTACCATATTGAAAGACCAAGAGAGGTGGAGCCAGCATCCATGGCTACCGCAACTACACTGTTTGCCATTTTAAAATGCTCCTTGTCAGAAAAGGATTTCAGATTCGTAATAGGACAGATTCAGACACAAAGAACCTCTAAATGAGACACAGTGTGTTTAAAATTGTGCATAGGCTTGGGAGAGAGGAAAAAGAGTATAGACTATTATAAAAAGAAGTCAGTTAAATTAATATAAAGAGTATAGACTGTCATAGATTAAAGGAGTAAAGAAAAATAAGCCACATAAAGATTAAAAAAACACAGAAAGTCTGTATTATGCATATTATTGTGTTTTCTTTGAATTTTTTTTTTACCGCAGAAAAGTATTTGATTCTGGGGGCTGCTAAGTTAAACCAATATAAAGGTATGTTGACTTCAAATTTTGTGTCTAAGCATATGTTGCTTTGAAAAAGAGGTTCTGTTTTTGTTTTAACAGAAAATGAGAACTTGTGCATTTCTTCCAGGTTAATGTGGTTTGATGGAAGAAGACCCCCCCCAAAAAATGGTTTCCATTTACCCCTAAAAATACTCAACCCAACAAACAGCAGGAAGCAGTTTGGAGAAAACTATGCCCAAATTTCCAAAATGATTGTTTATAAATGCTTATTTTTACTTTAAAAGGGTTGATTTTAAGTGATTAATGGTTACAGTCCAGTTAATTTCTTAAAAAGAGAGAGAGAGAGAGAGAGAGAGAGAGAGAGAGAGAGAATATACAGAGACGAATACTTTGCATTGGTATGGATCTTGGACTTTTGATACAAATTTAAGGTCAATTTTATTGTATGTATATCTGTTCTTGTTTAAGGTATTTTTAGACAGCTCATTTAAAAATGTAATATATAATTAAAAATTGTAGATTAATAGATAATCATTTATTAGTCAAACTTATAGTGATGATAATTAGGTTTTCTTGATGTACAGAGAAATATTTCAGATGGATAGGTATTCTTTAAATCTTTCAGAGACCTGAAAAACATGGTGTTTAAAAGATTTTAAGAATTTAGGCTTTTCTCGACAGTTAGGCATGTCTGCTTCTGGCAGCACCAGTTGCTTCAAGAGGATGATGGACACCAAAGAGGCTCCTTTTGGAGTTTACTAGCCATTTGGGCAAGAAACTGCTCTTTCCTGGACTGCTTGATGGTATGCTGTATGAACTGGACTTGCAGGACCCACTGAAAAGTGACTGAACATTCCAAAACACGGGATGGACCTTCAAGGTTCCTGCTTCACAGAAGAAACTGTCAGACATTCTGCAGGATACAGAAGAAAGTGACTGACAAACTGCCAAAATAGGCAGAACTGCCTTTGAAATTTCCTGCTTCGTGGAAAAGTCTGCCAGATACTATGGGCCTGTCGGCTGAAGATGGGTGCCCCAACAGTGCAGAAGAACTCTGGGTGACTGTTCAGTCAGTAAGATGACTCTGTCAATTCTAAAGTTTTGGAAGTTGTTTACAATGCACTTCCTGTTTACTTAGGTAATACTGTATCCTTCTGGGATCTTTGAAGAGTTGAAGACTGATAGATTTTTCCTTAGTTATGATAAAGGATAAATTAAATATAATAAAGCTTTAGATTCACTAAGATTGGATAGATGATTAAATATTGTAACTAATTCTTGTTTGATACCTATTTTGTTATATGTAATTTTACAATGTTAATGTTAAAACCTTCATTTTTAATTAGACAGAAAAGGAGAGATGATGTGGGATTTCCCTCTGTATGTTGTGAATATGTTTTTTTTTTTTTTTACCATTGGTTAATGAATAAAGCTGTCAATGGCTTAGCAGAGCAAAACCAAGCAGGAAGTCCAGAGATCCATAGAGTAGGCAGAGTCAAGGAGACACCATGTAGCTGCCAAAGGAGAAGGATGCAGCAAAGGAGGACGCCCACCAGAACCTTACCTTACTACCTTACCTTACCCGTAGGCCACAACCTCGTAGTGATACACAGATAGTTAGAAATGGGTTAATTCAAGATGTAAGAACTAGCCAGAAGTATGCTTGAGTCATTGGCCAAACAGTGCTGTAATTAGTATAGTTTCAGTGTAATTATTCAAGTCTAAGCTATCGGGAAATGAAAGACCAGTCTCTGCCTACAAGGAGACACCTCACTGGCTAAGCCACCATCCCTTGCTGGTTTTGAGTCTGAATCTCTTATAGCCCAGGCCGACCTTGAACTAGTCCTTTAATTTCTACCTCTCAAGTGCTGAGATTACAGGAGTGTGCCATCATACCCGGCTGATTTCCTAGGCACTACATAACAGTACCCCATAGCTCTCGGTATGGTGTGGGTATGCTCTCGTTAATGGCTGCTGTATTTTATCAGTGTTGGAAAGATAATACACATGCCTGGAACAAGGTTATAATAAAACAGTGGTGGTATCCAATGAAATCTCAGCTATAACCACCTAGGTCCTCAACTAGAAGTAACCACCTTTTGAAGTTCCTAGTCACTTGTATCTACATATTCAGCTTATTTATATTTAATTTGTTTTAGGTGTATGCATGTGCCTACACATCTGTGTGTATACAGGCACAGAATCCCCAAGGACTCACATTGTACCCGCTACATGTGGGTACTGGGAGCTGAATGTGGAACCTCTGAAAGAGCAACAAGAACTCTTGACTTCTGAGCCGTCCCTTCATCCCCCGAATTTATATTCTCTTTGGTTTGGTTTGGTTTTAATTTTTAAGTTTTTTATATATGAGAGTTTGGCCTATGTGTGTATATAGATACACCACGTACATGTCTGGTTTCTGCAGAAGTCAGAAGAAAGCATCAGATCCCATGAAACAAATTTGAGATAGTTGTGAGCCACCATGTGGGTAGGTGTTAGGATCCAAACCCAGGTCCTCTGCAAGAAGAACAAATGCTATTAACTATTGAACCATCTTGTCAGCCCCTCTCTAAATTATGTTCTTAAGATAAATCGCTTTAAAAAAAACATATTTCTGGCTTAAAACTGCATTTAAAGTTTTTGGTTTGTTGGTTTGTTGAGGTAGTGTCCTTCCATATAGCCCTGACTGGCCTGAAACTCACAGAAACCCACCTAACCTGCCTCCCACATGCTAGGATTAAAGGCATATGCCACTGCACCTAGCTGTTCATGAGAATGTTGGTGCAAATTATTGTACTTGTTTTCTGTTTTTATACTTTTGAGTGTGTGCAAATACCAGAATTACTTACTTTCTCGTTAAAAAGATACTTGCATGTTTTATGTATCTGAATGTGTGCCAGTGAATGCCACATGCTTGTGATTGCCTTAGAAGGCCAGAAGAGAATGTCTAATCTCCTAGAGTTGGTTGGACTGGCAGGTGGTTATGAGCCACCTGATATTAGGTATTAGGAACCACCTGGTATTAGGAATCAAACTTGGGTTCTCTGAAACCCAAGCATTCTTAACCATTGAGCTATCTTTCCACACCCCTGAGAATTATTGTAATAAATGATTTTTTTTTAAAAAAAAAAACCCTCTGGACAAGGTTCATTGTGCTTCTATTTGCCTCAAATCGGCTTCTTTATGGGAGATTGTTAACTTCTACTCTTTTCTCCTCCCTAAAAAGGTTCTCGTAAATGTTTTCTTGGAACCTTAAAGATGGAAATGACAAACGTGTCCCTGAAACGTGGGTGCCTTGTTGTGGAAGATAATGACGGTGTGGCCTCGTGGGAGGAAGCAAAGAAACAGAAGGTCTCAGAGTGCTGTCTGAACGACAGTCGGGATGGAGTAGAAAATGAAGGTCTGCACAGCCGTGAGGACGAGCCTGGGCCTCCAGAGGCTGAAAGTACAGAGAAAGATGAAGAGAATTCCAGTGCTCATGTGCGAGAGGAGGAAGAGGAGGAAGAAGAGGAAGAAGGCCTTCCAGAGACAGGGGAAGAGGAGGAGCCAGAGAGCTTTGCAGACATGATGAAGCACGGACTCACAGAGCTTGACGTAGGCATCACCAAGTTTGTGAGCCCTCATGAGGGCTTCTCGGGGATCCTAAAAGAAAGGTGTGTGTAGTGAACATGTTTTAGCTGTGTGAATACTTTTCTTTGGAAAGAAATCAGCTGTTATAGTCCATATAGTCTTTCCCTATTTCTTTCTCTTCAGCCCCCAGAATTTACGCATGCTAGCCAAGCTTGGCTACTGAGCTACAGTTCCAGCCCCCGGTTTCCATCTTTCTTTGCTTTCTCTTCCCTATTTTTTCAGTCTTACCCACCTTCTTCTCTTTAAAAAAGATCTTCATTTGTTTGTTTTTGAGGCAGTGTCTCTCTAAATAGCCCAGGTAAACTCAGTTGTCTTAAACTTTCAATCCTCAGCCTCTTGAGTGTTAGAAATTTGGGAATGTGCCTTTACACCCAACTCTCCATTTGGTTTTCTAACCCCAAGAGTTGTTTATGTTTCTGGTCAAAAAGGGGCAGAGTGTGGGAGAACTGCCTGAGTAGATGGTCTTGGATTTTGAACACATTTGCTTTCTGTGGTCCTGGGCCTTGAACTCAAGGCCTCACGCACACTAGACAGACACTCTTACTATACTGTGCCCATTATATTTCTTGCTTTCTTCCTGTTTCTTTTGCCTTTTCTCTCATTCTTTCTTGACAGAATCTTGCTGCTTAACCAGTTTGATCTTTAATTTTCAATCTGTCTCATGATGAATTCTTAGTTCTTATTAAGGACAGACCTTTCCCAGAACTGTTTAAATAAATACAGTTTCCCAGTGGTGCAGATTGTTAGTATATGGGGTTATATTTGTTTTGTTAAATTCTTTTAGACATTTTCAAGGTATTTTTTTTCTGAATTCATCTTATAATTTTAAACTGTCTCATCTGACTAGACCATTTTTCAGTAGGAAGTTGTTTGGAGCCAGAAAGATTTAGATATGACTCTGTTTAACTACTTAATAACTGAGTCCTCTGAGCCTCAGTATCCACATCCACAAAATGGGTACTAGTGTCACTGGAAGTTTCTAAGAGGGTGTTAAATGTGATGATAGAAACAAACTTTGTGGTATCTTGTGACAGACTTACTGGGTTCTGAGTTAACTGTTTTTTAATTAACTTATTATTTAGCTTCAGTTAACTGACTGTATTTATGACTTGATTTAGTATGGATTGTATAAGCGTAGGGGTGTATATATGATTGTGTATTTCAAAGCCAGAGGTTAACCTCAGGTGCCTTCCTCCGTAACTCCCCACATGATTACTTTTAAAGACTGATTTTTATGTGTGTGGTGTGAGGGCCTGCATGTTATCTGCACCACATATGTGCAGGGCCCACGGAGGCTACAAAGGGCACCAGACCCACTGGAACTGAAGTTACAAGCCGTTGTGGGCTGCCATGTGGTTACCTGTGCACTTAGCCATTGAACTATCTCTTCAGTTCTTCTGCATTGTTTTTTTGAGGCAGTCTCGAAACCTGGGCCTCACCATTTTATGTGGACCAAGAGGCCAGCAGCTCCAGGAATCCTCTTTTCTCTGCCTCCCCAGCAGGTTGCAGGCATGTGCTGCCATGTCGCATGGGTGCTGAGGTTCAAACTCAAGTCTTCATCCATGCTTGCTCCTCGAGCGCTGTACTGATGGAGCCCTAAACGTTGGTGAACTTTTACTTTGCATTTGTTAGTGTTTTCTATACCAATATTTTAGAAGCATCTAGTATAAAAGTGTTTCAGTGTTAAGAGAAAATTACTTGGTATTACTTTACAATAGAGATTCTCTTTTTTTTTTTTTTTTTTTTTTGGTTTTTCGAGACATGGTTTCCCTGTAGCTTTGGAGCATGTCCTGGAACTCACTATATAGACCAGGCTGGCCTCGAACTTACAGAGATCCTTCTGTCTCTGCCTCCCGAGTGCTGGGATTAAAGGCGTGTGCCGCCACTACCCAGCGAGATTCTCTTTAAATCTCTTGTTTTGAATTAGTAAACTTTGTCCTAAAATTAGTGAAAAGTAAGATATACACTTATTGAAAACTTTGGTTTTCTTTTTACTAGGTACTCTGACTTTGTTGTTCATGAAATCGGGAAAGATGGACGGATCAGCCATTTGGATGACTTATCTGTTCCAGTGGATGAGGAGGTAGAAGTCTTTCTAGAAAAATCCTTTTTTTTGTGGTGTGGGAGAATTGTCTGTATTCTGTCAATCATATTTTAATAAAACGCTGATTGGCCAGGCAGGCAGTATATGCGGGAAAGCCAGACAGGAAGTAGGGATGGAGCAAAGAGACTGGGAGTATTCTGGAAGCAGAAGCTCTCTCACCATTCCTGTGCAGACCACTAAAGAGGCAGCATGTAACTTGCCCAGCTGAGAAAGGTATGGAGCCATGTGCTAACATAGATAAGGATAATGGGGTAACAAAAGTTATAAGAGCTAATAAGTAGCCTGACCTAATGAGCCAATCAGTTTATAATCTTATGGAGTCTTGTGTGTGATTTTCTTTGTTGCTTGCGGCTGTTGGGGTACCAAGAGGGACAGAAACCCCAACAAGCCGGCCCTCATGTTACATTTTTGTAAACAATAGCTCTTCCTAAAGATCCTAGAAAGGTACTTGTGCTATCTCTGTGTAACTCACTTGCTTTCTGTGGTAAAAGGACCCTCCCGAAGATGCACTCACTGTTCTGACAGCTGAAGACAGACAACAGCTGGAGGAGCTACAGCTTTTCAAAAATAAAGAAACCAGTGTTGCCATTGAGGTAAGCAAGGCCAGAGTGAGGTCTAGGGTTTGTCTGATCCCCTCTGGGTGGGTAACCACAGAACAGTTTTATCTGTGTTTAACAAAAGGGTGGCTTTTCCTGTTGCTCTCAAAGGACAGTTTACTAGGTTTTGGTTTTGTTTTGTATAAATCAGGGCAAAAAATCAATTTCAAGATAAATATATCAAGAAAAATTTGGTTTGTTTTATTCTTGTTGAATAAACAAGAATAAAAGGATCTCGTGGTCCAGCCTGGACTTGAATTTTTCTTCCTCCTATCTCCATCTTGCAAACGCTGAGGTTACGGAGTATTCTAGCACACCCAGCTTTTGTCTTTTTCAGATTTGGTATCTATAGCGCCCCTCTCTTCCCAATCCCCCATCCCCATCCCCCAATGGGCCTTACATTCTGTCTCAGCATCCACCGTGCCTGACTAGCAAAGCTGTGTTTTTCTGTAAAAAGAAATTCTGTGGCCAAAATGTATCAAAGAGAGATCTGTTTAGAACCACAGGATGATAGTTACATGGCTGCAAAGGACCATGGTGATTAGGTGCCTGGCCCTGGTAGGAAACTCTGACTTTATGGCTTCTTAATCTGATAGGATTAAGAGGGGGAGTCTCAGGGGAAAGGGAGGAAGCCTGTTACTCAACCTGGATCTACTGCTAGCTGAGAAATAGAGAACTCAGATGATAGGTAGAATTGCAAAGCATTGTTCAGCTTTCCTATGGCAGTTCTGTTTTTCTAGGTTAGTCCATCTAATAAAATTGTAATGTTAACCAAACATAGTACTGGGGACAAAGCCAGGGCTTTATATACGCTAATTGTGTGCTGTACTACTTCACTTTGTTTTGTTTTGAAACAAGATCTCATGTGGTCCAGGCTGGCTTGGAACTGAACCTCACTGGATAGTCAAGGATAGCTTTGAGCTTCAGACCCTCCTGCCTCTCTCTAACTCCTAAATGCTGGAATTATGGACACCATACCAGATTTATAAGATGCTAGAGATCAAACTCTGGACTCTGTGCATAAGTCTAGCATTTTACCACTGAGCTACACTCCCAGCCCTTTTACCACATTGTAATGAACTAATAAATTTTAGATTGTCTAAGATTTCTCCTTTTATCACTGAGTGTCTTAGAGTTTCTGTTGCTGTGAGGAGACACTATGACCATGAAAGCATTAAAATGGGACTAGTTTACAGTTCAGAAGTTTTGTCCCTTGTCGTCATGGTGAGAAGCTTGGTGGCATGCAGGCCGACCTGGTCCTGGAGAAGTAGCTGAGAGTTCTACATCTGAATCAGTAGGCTGCAGGAAGATAGAGTAACTGTCTGGCTTGAGCATCTGAAACCTCAGAGCCAACCCCCAGTGTCACACTTCCTCCAACGAGGCCCCATGTCCTAGTAGTGCCCCTCCCTGTGAGCCTGTGGGGGCTGTTTTCATTCCGACCTCCGCATTCCGTCACTCCAGCTTCTCACCTTCTCACGGCTCATTGTCCTCCTCCAGCATCACCACGTGCCTTCCCCACCCTCCCTTCCTGAAGAATACTGAATTCACCTGTTGACAGAATCCTTGAATAGGTTGTGATTTCTCTGTCACTCATCCTTGGTGTCAAGTTGGGAGCGTAGGCCCCAGTCCCTTGCATCTATCCCAGCCCCAAGGCCTGGTCTGGACTCCAAATCCCAACAGGCCAGATCCTGACCCCTCCCTGGGGATGGGGTCAGGACCACTCCCCTGGGTACTTAAGTGATCTCCCAAAAGACAAACATGTGGTCTCCTTTTCTTCCTCCCGGGGGTCGCGTTCCTGCGACTTCCCATGTCCCCCTCAGGACCACCCAAGAGCGCAGAACTCCCATTAAACCTGGATATTTCTTAATTCGACTTGTTTTGATTGGGAATTTTGTGTCGGCGGGAGCTAATATTAAAAAATATTCCTAACACTTTGTGCACCTTGTTTGGTTTGACTTTGTGAGTTTTGAAGTAGACTGTCACTGTATAGCCTAAGATAGCCTGGGACTTTGGTCCTCAACCTCCCAATTCTTGGGATTGTGGGCGTTCATCACATGTCCAGCCTTTAAATGCTTAACTGATGTCAGCTGGACTTTATCCCAACTTTATTTTTTATAGTTTGGTTTTGTTTTATTCAAATTACTTTATTTATTTGGTTTGGTTTAATTTGGGTTTTGGTAAATTTTGTTTTGTTTATTTGAGACAAATTCTCTCCTATAACCTATCTGGTCTCAAATTTGCTCCTCCAGGCTCTGTCCTATCTTCCAAGGCAGAGGTTACTCCTGAGTGCACCATCACATTGTTAAAAAAAAAAAAATCTTTTAAATTAGATTTAGAATTTTTTTTTTTTTAACTGTCATCAATAATAAGTTTCAGAGCTCAGACCACCAGTTGGCTTCTTCAGCTTCTGGCTCCTGCTCCTGTGCCCTCTTCCCTTCCCCTTCCTCACACTGCCATGGCCAACAGTGACTACCAGAGTCAAGCCGCAGATCGTGAGAAAGGGGTCACCTGTGTTTTTAAGTATGAATTTAAGAATTGTGTAGAACAGCAGTTAAGGCAGGAGAGACGACCAGCAGTTAAGACCCCTGGTTCTTGCAGAGGACCTGAGTTCAGTTCCCAGGACCCACGTGGTGGCTCACAACTGTCTGAAGTTCCAGTTCCAGAGGATCCAATGCCCTCTTCTGACCTTCTCCGGCACCAGCCGCACGTGTGTAACAAATACATACCTGCAGGCAACACACACACACATGAAATAAAAATAAATACAGTTTTAAAAAGAAAAAAAGAAAGAATTGTCTGTAAGAGCACAAGTTCCCCTGTGTGTATAATAGTGTTGTGTCTTGGGCCCGTGTACATATCCCACGTATGGCAAAACTAGCCCTTATTCTGAAAGCTATGTTGTTGACTCACAGTTTTAACTTTTTTTTTCTGCTTATGTTTATGGGTGTTTTACCTGCATGATATATGCCTAAGTGCTACATACATGCCTGGTGCACAAGGAGGCTAGAAGGGGTTATCATCTCCTGGAACTGAAGTTACAGGTAGTTGTTAACCACCGTGTGGGTGCTGAGAATCAGACCCAGGTCTGGGAAGACATCCAGATCTCTTACCTGCTGAGCTATCTCTACAGCCCCCAGTTTTAACTTTTAAAGGCCATGAATTATGGGCAAGTTACCTTATCTAGTAAATGAAGAGGAAATACTTTGTTGTTTTAGTTTAGTGGTATTGGTTTGGTTTTAAATATTTATTTTATGTATATGCATGTCTTGTTTACCTACCTGTATGTTGTCTATGTACCACCTGCATGGCTGGTGCCCAAGGAAGTCAAAAGAGAGTGTCAGATTCCCCTGGAACTGGAATTAGCGATGGTTATAAGCTGTCACTGGTTGCTGGGAACCCACCCAGGTCCTCTACAAGAGCAGCAAGTTCTCTTAATCGCTGGGCCATCTCTGTAGACTTAGTTTTGTTGCTTTGGTAACCATCTCATAACCATCATGGAATATACTATGTATGTAGCCCAGCTAGCCTTGAACTTCTGATCGGTGTTGGAATTATAGGCAGATGTCCTGCCTTGCTAGAACTTACTAAATTTTGAGTCTAAGTATATGTTTATATATGTAAACTGTTATTCCAACTTAGTGCTTTCAGCAATTGCTGATCTTGACTCTGTGCTGTGAGGAAATCATTTACCTATGGCTATGAGTCATTCTATTTTCTATATCATTTTGTTTTGCTAAGGTCTAGGATCTATTCTCTGTGTTGAGGTTTTCAACTGTTAGGTTGCAACAACTAAATCAGGCTGTGAAATCAAATTCATAGGTCTCACAATCAGCACTTTTAATTTTTCTTGCTGTCAGAGGTAAGGAAATTGGCCCAGTTAACTTATTCCTTTATAAGTTGTAAAAACCTTCATAGTGCATGAACATCAGAGGAAAATTCGTGTGGCTAAGTGCCTCAACCCAGTGAGCCATTTTGCCAACCCCACTATCAACATTTTTAAGAGAGTGAATTAGAAAATACCTGTTCACTGAGTATAGCATTAATGTGTTTTGTAAAAATCTTTTTTTTTGTTTTTGAAATATGGCATATCCCGCCTTTTGTTGAATAGAGGTAAAATCTGTTTTTTAGCGTGAAAAACTTCAAAAGCTGACCAAAAGTTGTTTAAATGTTCTTTATGCTTATTTTCTTTATTGTGTTAGATTTTCTCCCATAAAATAATTTAATATAAAATAAAGTTCAGTAGGAGGCAGTTGTGGGCTGAGTTGGCAGAAGGATTAACTTTGTGATACGCCGAAGGCTTGTCTCTCAGCATCTTGTTCTGTGACTTCCCCATGCTGTTTATCAAGAAGAGACACCAAAGGCAGCTGCTGGCGGTGATCACAGAGATTCCCTGCTTCGTTTCAAGTTCACTCTTACACCCTGCCGCTATGTAACTTCAAACCCCTTCTGTCACTCTCCCGAGCCTCATTCTCATTTCCACATAATGACACAGTGGTGGGTTGGCAGGGAGCTGGTGGAGAGTAAAGGAAAAGGGGAGTCTGAGGTGCTTGTGTAGCATCTGCAGGTGCACTATCCAAGCCCTTGGCACCGCCCTTATTAGGCAGCCCGAAAATGTGCTCTGAAATAATAGCCAAGTGTTCTTGTTGACTTTTGCATAGTTGATAAAATGAGCCATGTCTTCATGTTACTTTCCTATTTGATGCTTGTTAGAGGGTTACCTGTCTTCTGTTTTCCATAGGTCATTGAGGACACCAAAGAAAAAAGAACCATCATCCATCAAGCTATTAAATCTCTCTTCCCAGGATTAGAGACAAAAACCGAGGATAGAGAAGGAAGGAAATACATCGTAGCTTACCATGCAGCTGGCAAAAAGGCTTTGGCAAGTAAGCATGGCGTTGGCCCGCTTTCTCCTGTCGGGCAAGCAGGAGGGGCAGGACCTTCCACTCCCACCTCCTTTGCTTTGCTTATTCATGTGTGTGGGCTGCCTTGCCATTGTCCAGAGGGTCATGTCATGTCTTCAAAAGGTCAAAAGTCATTTCAGATGGAGAGCAGTTCTGCATGTTGTCTGTCTGGTGGACTTTCAGTCTTGTATGTGAGTGGAGATTTACAAAAACTACAGTGGTGCCTGAGAGAATCCTGAGAGCAGAGTGAGCTGATTGCCAATTTAATCAGAATGTAGAGGAGTTATTGCTCACGGTATGCTCTTAAAGAAAGAAGAAGCCTTTCAGATGAACAGAAATGCTGGCCTCCACTCCCAGGGGCATATTTCCTGTTCTACTTCCCAAACATGGGTATCTTCACTCACGTACATAAAACATGGGGTTTTAAGAAGTTGACCCGTCATCTGAGTCCTTTTGTTCTCTGTTGGACGGTCAATGTGAACATATTGTCAGTCAGTTTGGTGTTTAAGTTCTCGTGTGTTCTATACAACCATGAGAATTTCTGTTTGCTTAGAACCCTAAGAAAAAGGAAATATTTCTTGATTTTCCTCCCCTCCCAGTATCTGGCGCTTTATGTCTCACGTTCTCCCCTATTTCACAGTACATGTATCAGCACCGACCCGCAGGTGTTGTCGTGAGAGGCTTTGAGTCCATTACGGCCTGTCCATATCCCTCAATGAATAGAGGTAGCGTAGTCTATGCATGACGATTACGTGTTTGTAATGATTACATGCTTCCAGGAGAATGAAAGGGCTTAAGAAAAAAGCCAGGTTGGCCACCTGAAAAAAATCAACCATCAGTGAGAAGTTTTGAGTAATCAGAGGAAAAGGTAGAGACCTGAGGATGCTCAGTGAATACCAAAAAAAGCAAAGCTAGGCATGGTGTCACGTGCCAGTAATGGGAGGCTGAGGCAGGAGGATTACCTGTTACTGTTCAATTCTATAATGTCTCGGCCACAGTGTAAAGGAGTATCTCAACATCCCCCTGTCTGCCAGCGATGCAAAGGAGCCCATGCCGGGGGAAATGATTTCAGTGATTGTGTTCCGGTATTTTCAGTTTTCCCAAGGGCAGAATGTCACTATTCCAGATAAAAGACAAAGGTGACTTACCACATACAATCATGGGTATATTGGGTCTTAATTCTCTCATGGGTACATTTGGGGAGGCTGTAGTTGATCAGCATTTGATCAACAACCACTCTGCAAAGAGGAAAAGCAGGTCTTATTCTACTAGTGTGGTCGTGAAGATGCAGACTGTAAAAGGCACAAACTGCTTATGACTGATCGCCTCTTGCAAACACCCCTCGTTTCTTGGGCAGTACTCTGTTTTGTGCAAGGAGGGCGTAGCCTTTATAGTTGGCCTATCTTTTCCCTTATGTAACAGAGCCGCATCTCGTTCTGTTTACATCTAGATTTTCTGTGCCTATGTCACCTTTTTTGTTTGTTTTTGAGACAGGGGTCTTAATATATAGCCCTGGCTGACTCTGAGCTCACTACATAAGTTTGTCTGGTCTCAAACTCAAGAGATCCACTTGTCTCTGCCTTCCAGGTGTTGGAATTAAAGGCCTGTGTCACCACACTCTGCTCGCTCTCTCTCGCTCTCTCTCGCTCTCTCTCTCTCTTTCTGTGATTAAGATTTTATAAATGAGTCGTGTATACGAAGCACTTCCTCCCCGTCTCATTTTGAACATCCTGAGTAACACAGACAAATTTTTTTGTTTTTTGTTTTTTTGTTTTTCGAGACAGGGTTTCTCTGTAGCTTTGGAGCCTGTCCTGGAGCTAGCTCTTATAGACCAGGCTGGCCTCGAACTCACAGAGATCCACCTGCCTCTGCCTCCCAAGTGCTGGGATTAAAGGCGTGTGCCACAACCCAACTAAGACTGACAGGATTTTTATACTTTCTCCCAATAGAATTGTCCATTGTGAAACATGATATGATAATCCAGTCTAAAAAAGACACATTGCTTTATTTCAGTTTGGTAAATTGTATATAGTTATTATAACATTATAGAAGCAGGTAATAAATTGGTATTTTGAGATTATATGCATCCCTTACTGCTTTCAAGCGCTTGTTTTTAACCACAGACTTAAAAAAGGAAATCTGGGGCTGGCCATTGTAGCATACTTATATCATCACAGCATTCAGGAGACAATGAAATGGTGAATTTGTGGCTAACCTGAGCTACATAGTACAAAAGGACTACTGCCTCCAGTAAGAAAAAAAACTGTTTTATGACATATACAAGTTCTTTGTACTTTCTGAAGTAAATGGTCCTCAGGCAGGGTCTCTGGGCCGAGAGCTCTACCTACCCAGAATAGAGCAACACTGGTCTTTCTGGGACAGACCACACAAATGAAAAACCCCAGGGGCCGCAGTGGAAAGTACTCCTGATTGGATGAAATAGGAACTAGGAGCTTAAAAATGTGCCCATCACTTAGCAACACAAAAAAGTCACTTAATGCCTATTAATTAATTTAGAATTGGACTAATTAGAGTGGAAATCAGTTTACACAGTAAGTTGAAACAGAAGGCAATATATACAGTGTGCTTTTTAAATTAAGCAGTAAAGCCAAGAGAGGGGGAAAATATAGTAAGGAGAAGAAAATGTGCTTGACTTTGAAGATTGTAGAGCCCTGGGTGTCTTTATATATGAAATGAAAGGGCCAGAGAAAGGGGAAGGTGGAAATTTAAGGACAGCAGTAAAGACAATGGATGGAGCAAGATATTGAGAAAGCTGAAAGGTTGGTGTATGGGGCGCGTTAATGAAGATGACCTTGAGGAAGCAGAAAAACTTCTGCATGCTACCCCATCTCGTCCTCAGGCTGCGTCTGTCCTCCCTCACGGGAGCCCCTTCTGCGCAGGTCTGGACTGCGGTGCCGTGCCTTCAGAAGGTAGAACCAGCCTTCTGGAAGCAGGAAGTGAAATGCCAGCCTTAGAATTCTTTGCGAATGTGTTATAAATTGGAGTGACTCAAAAATGTGTGGAAGTCATCCTTACTGTCCTGAACTTAAGTGTTCTTGGAGGCTGTTTTTATAGAGTTTTTTTTTAATAGAGTTTTTGTTTATTTGTTTTTATAAAGTTTTTGCTTATTTAGAATACTTCCAGGGCAAATGTTTTACTCTTTTACATTTTATATTGAGCATTCTTTTTTTTAAAAAGATTTATTTATTTATTATATATACAACATTCCTTCTATGTATGCTTGCATGCCAGAAAAGGGCACCAGACCCCATTACAGATGTTGTGAGCCACCATGTGGTTGCTGGGAATTGAACTCAGGACCTCTGGAAGAACAGTCAGTGCTCTTAACCTCTGAGCCATCTCTCCAGCCCCTATATTGAGCATTCTTAGAAAATGAATATTTGTACTTGGTAGTTGCAGAGGTCATTGAATTCATGTTCTGTGCTTCGGTTTCCTAATAGAAAGTGCATGCTTGTGAACCAGACTCACTGGTTTGTCTTGGTTTCTGCTAAGGGAAAATAACACTTAGGTTTTTTAGTCTTGTGGCTGTATTTATCTCTTGCCTTTGTACTTACATGTGACTATGCTAAAAACTAGAATTTAAAAAATATAGCCACACTTCATCTTGTGTCATACTTGATGATTTTAGCTTTTTATTGTGAACTTTTTAAATTCTGTGCCCAGATAGGAAATGCAGCCCTGCGTATCCATCCATCACCTTCAAGATGACTGACATTCCTTTATTTCTGTTTGGTCCATTATACCCCCCCCACACACACACACACACACTTTTTTCCTTTTGGGGGCACTTTAAAATAAATTAACATGACGTGTCATTTTTCTCATAAATTCTTCAGTGTCTGTTTACCAAATGAGGACTAAAATCTCAAACCATTATCACATTCAGTAAGATCAGAATGACTTCCTGACATCTATCCTGCACACGTTCAGTTCTCCCTGAATTCTTCAGAACTTTTAAACTCCCACAGCTTGTTCAAACGACAAAGAACAGACAAAGTTCACTGGATGTGTCTCACAGACCATCTCTTAAATGTACATCATTTAATCTGTACATCGGTGACTATAGAAAAGTTCTGTCAAGTGATCATTCAACAATGTTCAGTTTTTTGTGAGATTCTGTAGTGTAGGGTGGGGTGGGAGGTTTGTTCTGGAGTTTTCTCTGTAGCCCGGGCTGGCCTTGTGCTCACAGTGCAGGGAGTACTGGGATTAAAGGCAGGTGCAGTCCCGTTGTCCCCCCCACCCCCCAGCTAATGTGAAAGATTATTGCAGTTCAATGCAGGAAGCACACAAAAGAGGCGTGCAGCAAAGCAGCAATCGCATTCTCATCACAGCAGTCACACGGTGTTTCAAACATGTCCTAACATGTTTGCTGAAAAACATCTGTTGAAGCAGACACATTCAGTTTTAGTCTTGAATTTGCTATCTCCCGTGGGTGCAGACACAGCTTAGAGGATGAATTGTCCTTTGTGAAGATGCTGAGTCAGGAAGGCTGTGCCTAGAGGGGAGATTCCTGTTTGTTTACCGTTTGCCTCTACAACATCCCATTGTTGTGTCTGAGTGGTGTTGACCCACCACGTAGTGCCAAGTACTGTAGAAGTCTTCAGCATTCCCTTACCATGCTATCATTTGCATGTTCACCTCTAAAGCACCTTAACGGTATTATAAATTAAACATTCCTCTCTTGTGCTCTTTTTGCTGTGCATTTGGACAGAGGTCAGAACTGCAGCAGGTAAGAGCGATTGGTATTTCGTGTAGACAAGATGAAATACCAATGTTGTCCTAAGTACTGAGTACAGGTAACGTTGCTTAAGTGGTAGTGAACTGGAAGAAAAAAACGAGAAAAAGATATTTCATTCATAACCCTAAGGAAATTGTGAGAATGTCACAGCAAGAACTAAGGAGATACTTCTAATATTTTTCTATACATGACAGAAAAGGCTCACATATTCATCAAGAAAGAAATTGATTTTCTAGGCGTGTTTATATTGTGATGGTTTTCTGAAATGGGTTACTGGTTCTCAACGTTGCTTGTTGGTTTTTACATTGTAGATGAAGTCAGTAACCTGTTATCAAAAAGTGCTTTTGCTTGACAAAGCCAGATAGTCAGTTACCTTCAGTCCCAGGAAGAAGAAGCCTCTGAAGATTCCTAAGTTTGTATGAAAAGACTTTTTAAGGACAATTTTCAAAGCAAGAGGATTCTTTCTAGTTGATCATGCAGAATACTTTTTCATAGGTTTTCTCTAATGGAGTGGACGCGCTCCTTGAAAACCAGCTTACCTGTTACGTACGACTCATGAACTCTTGCAGTATCTGCAAACTGCACTTGTAGGTTTTTTTTTTTCAGAGTCCTGAATTCTGTACTATGAGAAGTTTACATCTAAATCTTATATGGTTTAAAATGTGTTTCCAGATTGTATAATTGAAATATTCAATTAAAAGAACAATTTTAACAGTCAGGGTATCCAGGTTATAGATTGTTTATCTATCCCCAAAGAGCTGGGCAGTCATGCTACACTGACTCAGAAGGTAGCATTTAATATGGCTTACGTTTTTACATACACTGACACGATAAGAGTCAGGCTTTAAATGCCAGCTGCTCTCTCGTCTAGATATCTTTGTAGATATTAACTAAACTTCTGTGCTAGAAATGGCCTTTGGAAAATTTCCAAAGTCATAAAACAAGCCCTTATAAACCCTGTCTCCACCTCTGCTACCATGTGTGAATTCCTTGCTGTGAAGCAGGAATGACAGGGTCTATCGTAAAGGTTTTTCCTCTCGAGTGAAGATCCAGGGCCCCTTGGTTCTGATGTGTGCTGACCCTGTGGGTTCTGTGTGTCAGCTGTGAGAATCTGACCGCTGGCTCCTGCTCGTTTTCCACACCACTTACACTTCACTTCTCATTGTAAATGTAGACAGATACTGTCTAAGTGACAGAAAGCTTAGTATGTGTAGTTCATACGGCTACTTATACTTTATGTCAGGCTACATCTGATTGACTACTGAATGGTTTTGTAGCATAAAATGATCTCCATAGAGTTCATTTTTTTAAAAAAAATTATTATAATATATATGACATTTATATTTTTTTGTTTTTAAGATCCAAGAAAACATTCTTGGCCAAAATCTCGGGGAAGCTACTGCCACTTTGTTCTATACAAGGAAAACAAAGACACCATGGATGCCATCAATGTATTGTCCAAATATTTACGGTTAGTGTCTCGTTCTTGTTCTTACACAAAATCAGTAAAATAGGAATGTGTTCTCTCTTTCAATGCCAGTGGAAAAAGATCAGTAAATGCCAAAAGTACTTCCTAATGGGAATGTTTGTGGGATCAATAAACTTTCTATCCCTTTGCTAATAATTCAATGTTTGTGGGATCAATAAACTTTCTATTCCTTTGCTAATAATTCAAGATAAAAGTTCTGTATGTAAATAATTCACATACAATTAAAAGTTCCTAGTACAGTCAGGGGAAGATAATATTTGCTCAAAAGGGATGAAAATACAGCAGAGATCACAGGTTTGGAGGATAGGTGAAGTACCATGAGTTTTTTGTGTTTGTGATTTTAGTAGACATTAAGAGATGGCTCAGCAGTTAAGACTACTGGCTGCTTTTTGATAGCATCCAGGTTTAATTCCCAGAACTCACATCATGGCCTATAACCATCTATACCTCCAGTTCCAAGAAACCTGACACCTTTTTCTAGTCTCCAGGAGCACCAAGCATGCTTATGGTACACATACCAATGTATGCAGGCAAACCCTCATACAGTAAAAAAAAAAAAAATTTTGAAAAGAAATGTTTGTGGATACCACAGCAAATTTGTATTCTATGAAAATTTAACTCACTCTAAAACAGGGTATATGTTTTCAGATGAGCCAAACAAAATAACCACTAAGTGGCTTATGTAGCAGAAGTTAGAAAATTCTCTCCTAGTTCTGTAGCCAGGAAGTTCCAAGATCAGAATATGTAGTTTATTTTCTTTTCTTTTTTTTTTTTTTCAGACAGGGTCTCTATCCCTGTCTATCTATGAAGAATCCATCTGAGAAGCCACATTCTTTAAAGGCCTTGTTTCCAAATGTTATATTATGTGATGCTGGGAGTCAAGGCTTCTGCCTAGGAGTTTGAGGAAAACACGGGTCAGCCCTGAATACCACACCTAATTAAATAACATTTCACTTTTTTTATTAGCTTCCTGAAAAGAGTCTGTGGGTTCTTGTTCCATCTTCAAGAGCATAGACGGCCCTCCTAAGGATATAGACAGGAGGAAATGGTTCCTCTGGGATGTACAGTTGGGATTTCTGGGAGTATGCAAATATTCCTCTGTATTATTTTGTATATCTCCATATCAAAACTATCTAGCCAACCAGGCAGTGGTGGCACACTCCATGGGCACCAGGCATGCACACAGTGCTCAAGCATACATGTGAGCAGAACGTTCATACACATAAAATAAAGTGATAAATAAATATTTTTTTAAAGTGCTTAAGGAAAATAAGGCTAAAGCAGGCAGTGGTGGTGCAGACCTTTAATCCCAGCACTCAGGAGGCAGAGGCAGGTGGATCTCTATGAATATGAGACCAGCCTGGTCTACAAAGGGAGTTCTAGGACATCCAGGGCTACACATAGAAATCCTGTCTTAAAACACGCACATACAGACGGGGGGGGGGGGGGGGGGGAGAGAAAACTATCCAGATCCTGGTTTTAGCATTTGACTTTTTTATTTTTTTTTATTTTTTTTTAAATATTTTTTTATGGTTTATTTAACTTTATTTTATGTGCATTGGTGTGAATGTGTCAGATCCCCTGCAACTGGATCTTCAGACAGTTGTGAGCTGCCATGTGGGTGCTGGGAATTGAACCCGGGTCCTCTGGAAGAGCAGTCAGTGCTCTTAACCACTGAGCCATATCTCCAGCCCCTTGACTTTTTTTTTTAATACAGAGTTAGAGATTATATTTAAGGTTAAAAAAAAAAAAGAAACAAAAAAAACTCATTACTGTAACTTCTTAAAATCTGAAGATATTAAAATGTTCAGAGTGCTACATTATATCTCTGGAATATTTTCCCCTTTATTGTTACAGTGGTACGCAACTTAACAAGTTGTTTCTGACTATGGAATGTGCAACTTTTATTTTTGTTACTGGTTAGCCAAGTCTGAAAGCCAGGTCCCTGACAAGGAGGCAGCTGTTGCTGCTTTAATTTGTATGTTTATTTAAATTTTTCTCAATAAAATCTTAATTAAAGTTTCTCCTTATTCTCTTAGTATGTTAGTAAGTGTATTTTGAAATAAGTTACTAGAAATGTGCTTTGGTTAACTTATGTAACTTAGGAATGCTTTGAATCTGTCTCACCAGAGTGAAACCAAACATTTTCTCCTATATGGGAACCAAAGACAAAAGGGCCATCACAGTCCAGGAGATTGCTGTCCTCAAGTAAGTAGAGTTTCCCCCCAGACTGGCTCTGCAGAGGTCCTCGCACTCCCTTCAGAGGCCTCGGGCTTGCTTTATGAAATTGACCACTTTCAACTTTATATGATATCTCTGCCTTTTAAAAATGTTTTAGACATTTAACTTGCATTTATTTATCTGTTTGTTTATTATCTGTGTGTGCACATGTATACACACACACTGTGGCACATTTGTTGAAGTCACGGACAACTGGAGACAGTAAGTTCTCTGCTACACTGTGGATCCCTTGGACTGGACTCTGGTTGGTAGCAGATGCCTCTATCTGCTAAGTCATCCTGCCAGCCCTGCTTTACTTTTTTGTAAATAGTGTTTTTCTACTTCATTTTTTTTCATCCTGAATCTCTGCTTCCTAATCTTATCAAATATATATTTTCTGAGTAATTTTACAAAGCTGTTGGTGATACAGCCAAAAGAATAGGTGAATTGGGGTTGGAGAGATTGCTCAGTGGTTAAGAGCACTGGCTTCTCTTCCAGAGGACCTGGGTTCAATTCCCAGCACCCACAAGGCAGCTCTCACTTGTCTGTAACTCTGGTTCTAGGGTACCTGGCATCCTCACACAGACATATATGCAGGCAAAACACCAGTGCACATTAAAAGAGAGAAAGAGAGATAATAGGTGCACTGTTGGCTTTTATCTGCTGCTTTGTCCCACTGAACTTCCCCTTGGGGAAGGGGACGAGTGGGGGTTGTTGACGGCTCCGTCTCTGGGAGACAGGCTGGCTATGGCAAGTGCAGTTTAATTTCATAAAGGGGAAGCCTTCTATGCCCCACACCCACCTGAGGGAGGGGAAGCAGCAGCCCTGGTATCAGGAGACTGGTTCGGGTCGTCTTGTCTCGTGGCACGGCAGCTGTTGCTGGGGCCCCTTGGCAGACCTAGGTTGGCTTAATTTGGGGAAGTTACGTACTGCATGCTCAGATAGTCAGTTTAGTCTGGTTTAAGCCAGTAAGGCCCTTTGTGCCTGAGCAAATATCCCCCCCCAAGTGCACCTTTCTCTCTTGTTTATTAAATATTATAAAACAGTGAATAATATATTTTGTTTGTAACAGACATTCTGATGAAAAAGAAGGTCTCTACTTTTAGAAAAGTTACAGGACAGAAAAATAAGTAGAACCCTCCTAGAATGGGATGAGAGATGAACTAGGGGTATGCCTTAGTCTTGATTGCAGACCTGGGACTATGAAGGGCAGTCAGAGAAAGTTTGCACAGATAATGGGATGGGATACTGTGGTTTTAATTTAAATAAAGGCATCTCATCTCTACGCTATGTGCTTTTTCAACTGGGAAAGTCTCTGTTGTGGTAACTGGTCCTATTCATTATAAGATATTTGCCTGCCTCCCTGATCTCTGTCCTTTCTGTACAACAAGCACATAAGTCCCTGCTGCTCATACAGTTGTGAAAATTAAAGCCATATCCAGACTTGTCAAATATGCCCTAAAGAGGGCAGTGTTGCCTCTGATAGAGAACTAATGGTCTTGATTCTAGAAGGATGAGATGATTTTGGGGGCATGGGAGGTTGTTATTTCCAAACCAATAAAGTAGCTTATGAAGATATTAGAAGGACTTATGAAACGTAACACATTTACTACCTGGTAAGCAATTTTGTGGCCATGTAGCAAGAAATAAAGCTTTCTGTGTACTCATTTCAACGGCTTATATGCTAATATTGGAATCATACAGAAGAGCTATCATAGCATCCACACAAGAAAGACAAATTTTCTGGGGCGTTTGTTATTTTTTTGGTAAATAGATACTGCAGAAGAACAATAGGTTATGCAAAATTCCTAAGACTCAGAAAGATAAATGCTACACGCCCCCCCATATGTGTAATCTTGGTTTTAAGTGTATTGGTGTGGGAGTGTCATGGGAGGGGGAAAAAGACCTCAAGAGGGAAGAGAGAGAAAAGGGATTGAAAAGGAATATGTGTGATAAAAGGTGGGGACTGTTTCTGAGAATGTTTGGAATCAGCAAGAACTGGGCAGTAGAGAAGGTGGGAGGGTTAAGTGAAAACAAGATAAAACAACATACATGTATGAAAATGACATAAGGAAACGTAAAATGACATATGCTAAACATAAAAGAAGAATAAGAGGATAAACAAAATAAAAGTAGATTAAGACTGAAGAAAGGAGGAGAGGAAGGAAAGGAGAAAGGGCTAAGGAAGACAAGGAAAGAGGGTGGCTGAAGGAGGGCAGGATCCAGATCCTGAAGAATTACACAGTTTATGTTGAGGTCCATGTCACAACTAGGTGTATTCTAGTCCTCTTCTGTGGCCTAAGGCAGTGGCGTGTTGCTGTAGGGCCCTTCTCCATCATGTAATGGGTATGTCTGTGTGTGAAGGTGTTGCTTTGTTTGGAACTGGGTGAGGATGCTAATCTGAGGTTTAGAAACAGGCGTTTTACCAGCCAGCAGGTGTCAGACTTGATCAGGGTACTGGTCTGCCCTCATAGACTTTTTTTTTTTTTTCATTTTCCTGTTGACTTTCAGGAATCTCAGCAGGCCTTCTAAATGCTGCCCTTTTGAAAGCACTTTGCACTTATCTTGCGGATACAGGCTACACCCTGCATTTGCTCAATGGGTCTGTGTGGTAGGCAGATTGGCCTTTCCCATGAGAACTGGTGAACAAGATAAACCCATCCTGCCACACAGAAATTTTAATTGTTGCTGCGTCAATCAGTCCTGGGATAAGCAGCATTTCTGTCCACTTTCTTTCTTGCAACTCTGAAATACTTGGTAATTTCAACAGGAGCTCAAACTGTCTTATTTAGATGTACTTGTTTCTTTTCCTGCCTGTTCCTGCCAATCTCCTTTCTGAGCTTGGGCCCATATTTCTTCGACTTTATTTTTAAAGGCTTCTCTGTAGCAAGTGTTTTGTTTTTCTTTTAATTTTTTTAATATTTCTTTATTATGTATACAATATTCTGTCTGTGTGTATGTCTGCAGGCCAGAAGAGGGCACCAGACCTCATTACAGATGGTTGTGAGCCACCATGTGGTTGCCAGGATTTGAACTCAGGACCTTTGGAAGAGCAGGCAATGCTCTTAACCCCTGAGCCATCTCTCCAGCCCCTGTAGCAGGTGTTTGTTGACCCTTACTGCTTAAAAACAAGATTGTCACATATGAATTTACAACCAAAAATACTTGATATGCAGTCATTAAAACTGGTTAACAGTATTGCCAGTACGCACCTTCACCTTCAAGAACTAAAAGTAGCTCTGTACTTTTGCCAGATGGATGCAGAAATGACTGTCCATTGTATACTGAGGGAAAAGAATATTATTCAATATATAAAAAAAGAGTGAGATACCAATATATCTTATAGCATAATAAGCCGTAAGAGTTTTGCGTTGTTGGGCATGTTGGCAAAGTCCAATAATCCTAACACTCTACAGAGTGAAGCAGGAGAATAGGAAGTTTGAAGCCAGCCTGTATACAGGGGGACCCTGACATTTAAAAAATGAAGGGAGAGAGGAAGGAAGAAAATTACACTAAGTAGTTGGCCATTAAAAAAAAAAATCACTATTTGATTTTTGTTCACATGAAATGTGAAACATGGGGAAATCTGTAAACAAAAAGTACATTAACAACTACAGGGGCTGCAGGGAAGGCCAGAGGACATGGAGTCAGGGCTGAGTGGATGAGGGTGGTGGTGGTGATAGAGATACACCGCGCACATTGTGAGTGTACACTAAAAAAGTACACACTACAGGGAAGGCCAGAGGACATGGAGTCAGGGCTGAGTGGATGAGGGTGGTGATGGAGATACACCGCGCACATTGTGAGTATACACTAAAAACCCTGAAAACAAATAAAATGGTGATTTTTTTTTCTCTTTTAAAAAACGATTTTTATGTATTCTTATTTCATGTACTTTGGATTGCCTGAATGAGGGTGTTGGATCCCTTGAAATGGGGCTTATAGACAATTGTAAGCTGCCATGTGGGTGCTGGGAATTGAACTCAAGTCTTCTGGAAGAAACAACCAGTGCTCTTAACCGCTGATCCATCTCTCTAGCCCCCCCACCCCCCCAAAAAATGGTAAATTTTATGTTTTTAAAGAAGGACAAGGCTTGGCACTCACCTTTATTCCTTCTCCTTTCCCCCAACACACATACATGCACACATGCACACACACTTGAGAGGCAGAGGCAAGCAGATATCTGAGACCAACCCGGTCTACATAGTGAGTTCCAGACCACAAGGGCTACATAGTGAGACCCTGTTTTTGAAGAGAGACAGATAGACAGACAGACAGACAGAGAGAGAGATGGGGGGAACACTTTCCTGGCACTAGCTAGAAGCAGTCTCCAGAGGTCACCAGGACAGCCAGCAACTTGATTCTTTTTTGCTCCTGTCTTTTGCTTTTGCTTATTTTTATTTTATCTATTTATTTTGCTCCTGTCTCTGAAATGTTGTCACTTTCTCTAGCATTGTCTACTAAGTAAAGAACTCCCTTGACTCGTCCTCACTTTTCATGCTAACCCTGTTCTGTTTTGGATTATTTGTGGTACAGTTTCTGAACTAACTCATGCCTTTGACTTTCAACGTTTTCCCTCTACATGTCAGTTCAAGGGCCTGGTGCCCTTTTTCTCCTGGGCTGCTGTGACTTAACTGGAACACACCTGCTCACACCTGCTCACACCCGCTTCCTTGCTTGAGGTTGCCCTGGTTTATGTGAGGTCCTAGGGATGCACAGGGAGTAAGGGAACTGGGGGTACAGGTTTTATCCATTTCCTGACTCTGATGGCTATCTTCCTACCTTTTCTATTAATTAATGGAACAGCACCTTTTTTTTTTTTTTTAACTTAACAAGGCTGGAGGTGTGAGGCCCTGGGGTTAGTGCCTAGCACTGACCAAAAGTGGAGGAGGAGGTTAAGCAATGGAAAGCTAGGGTAGTCTGCTTCCCTACATATCAGATGAGGAAATAAACAGGCTGGTTTCTAGAACATCAAGGGGTTGATTGTC